CAGAGCCCTCAGCACTCGCTCTTTTCTCCTCGTTTGCTCTCTTCTCACAGAACATCTGCTGTTTTTAAGAGGAGGAACGTCCCACTGCAAAAATCTGAGCAAGAAACTCAGCAGTAGGTGTAGGCTAGATGGGATTTTCACCCCATCAGCACCATTTTCAAGCCAGTCTTCCTAAATACCCCAGAAGACAGGAATAAAAAAAAGTTTTCTTGGGACCGAGATTGATTTCTAAACACACGGCTCATCTGTGTGAAGTACGAGGTCACATTCATTAGACCATTAGATTAGAGGATGAGAAAAGGCTGTTAAGGACCAGGAAAAGCGCTCAGATATTATTAATGGTAATGAAAACAATTGGAGATCTCCCAGGCTTAAAAAGCCCTCACTTACTGTCATTGAAGAGGGCTTCTGCTCTTTTCGTCTCCATATCTGAAACAGAGAAACAGTCAGGGTAAGGGCAGGAGAGCACAGATAAGATTTCTCACTGGCATGGTCATCCCACCCAACAGCTATTTGAGCACAGGGCACCACAGGAGGTACGGCTGAGGGGGGCTGCTAGAGAAACCAGTGTAGCTCATATGTGGTCACGTTCCTGTGCTGGCTGTTGCGCTTCTCCACGGTGTCACCTGTTGTTCTCCAGACAGCCAATATCCCCTGAGGACCAGGACCAGAGTGTCCGCCATCCTGCAGGACCCTGATGTTTCTGGAGGGCAGTACAGACAAAGCAAGTCTTGCGTGACTCAAGGCGCACAGATTTGTTGTGGAGAGATTGCACTTTACACCAGAGCGAGGGCCAGAGGAGATCTTGGACTCGATCATCTCAAAGGTCCCTTCCAACCATGAAGATCCTGTATTTCTGTAATTCTGTGATCTGGTGCTCACACCCTCTGCCATCAGAAGGCACTGACTTCACCGCAGCAGTGCCAGCTTACAACAGCAGTGGCTCGCTCTCTTTTCTCCTATCTTATTGAACAACAGGGTGTTTGGCACACTGTTAACACTGAAAGAGACACTAAAAGAGTTAATAGCAATCTATTGCATGGCACAGCAGGTTCTAGCAATAGATTCCCTCCTTTAATATGCATATTGTATGTTTATGGACAATACAGTACACTCACACTGGCAATAATAAGCATTGGCTCAAAGTATAAGTCTAGTCCCCTTCGTCCCTGGTGAGAGCCTGGCCCAGGTTGCCCAGAGAAGCTGTGGCTGCCCCATCCCTGGAGGGGTTCAAGGCCAGGCTGGATGGGGCTTGGAGCAACCTGGTCTGGTGGGAGGTGTCCCTGCCCAGGGCAGGGGCTGGGACTCGATGATCTTTAAGGTCCCTTCCAACCCAAACCCTTCTATGATTCTATGATCCCGAATGCTATTTTTACAAAAGCTACTATTTTAGCTGCTAGCAGGCAAAACAAATATAAAAAATAAAAATAATTTTTAAAAATCACACTTTTAATACAATTTTTAAATTGTATAGCAATTTTTGCCCAGCATCCACAACTTCACGTTTTTGGGTTGGAGAGCCTTTCTGAGCGGATCCCTGCCCGTACCCGCTTACTTCATTTCTCTTTTCCCTTTGCAGCTGAACCCAAACTGTTCTATGATTCTATGATCCCGAATTTCTCTTCTCCCTTTGCAGCTACACAGAATTAATATCCTCATTTTGCAGGATGAACTGCAGCCCATGGGAAGGACTTGCATTGGAGAAGTTCATGGAGGACTGTCTCCTGTGGGAGGGGAGGGACCCCACCTGGAGCAGGGGAAGAGTGTGAGGAGTCCTCTCCCTGAGCAGGAAGGAGCTTCAGAGACAATCTGTGATGAACTGACCACAACCCCCATTCCCCATCCAGCTGAATCCTGTGAATTTCTATAGGATTGGTTGTTGCCACGATCCCTTACCTCAAAACATAATAATACCAGACAATAAAAGCGAGGCCAGTGGAGGAATTCAGCAGTGGTGCAATCATTACTGTTTGGTAAGTCCCAAAATAAGGAAAGGAGAAAAAAAAAAGGGTGCCAAGCTGTGCTAAGGATTTGGGTACTTCACCCCTACGTCTATATTGGCAAGAAGTGCTTTGAAAAATCTGGCCCTACCTGTTTATTTCAACTCTGATAAGCATCCAAGGTCTTCCTAGAAATTCATACAACCTTCAGAGCTAGTTCATGCTTTGGGTCATTTTAATATATTATATCTGGAAACTGGTAAGAAACCAACAAATGCAATCAACAATGAAAGGGCACCTTTTGCCTTCAAGTGCAATATTGATAATAATGTTTTTTTAGCTCCTCTCTGGGTGGAGAGCCATTTACCTCATGATGCCTAATTATAAAGCCTGCAGTCAATTATTAACACTTAGATTATGTTGCAAAGCTCATCGAGAAGACAAAAGGAGCAACCAGCTTGTTGAAGCGCGGTGCCGGAAGCAATTCAATTGGCATGTTCTCACTGCACCGAGGTGTGCGGTGAGTCACGCAGCTCATCCCCCAGGCACCTGCATATAGCTCTGTTTGCCTTTTTACCAGGCACCCAGAAAAAAATACAAACCTCAGGTGGGCAAAATTTTGGACCCGTTGCTTCCAGCTCCAGACGACTTGTGCGTAATCGGAAAAACGAGTCTTCCACGCACGTGCTGCGAGTCTTAAAGAGCGTGTCTGTAGGGCTTTGAATTTTAGCATATTTTGTAATCTATCACAACCATGCAGTGCTCTCCCACCCACCCACTGCTGAAGGAAAAAAGGCCAGTGACCCTGCTTTGCTTGAGAGCTCTGCCAGATCCAGTGCCCTCACCCTGCATCCCACACTGGGAGCTGGAACGCGAGTCCTGAAGAAATGGAGAAACGGAGAGAAAACCTCAACAGGGAGTTTTTTAAGAGGCGAAAGCAGGTTTGTCTGGCAACAGACCCAGGAACCCATCGTGCAGATCAAGGACACACGATACCCCAGGACTCAAAACCAAGATCCCAAACCCCGAGCACGCATGTTTTTGGGAACCTGAACTAACTGACACCAAGCCCAGCCCACAGCCGACCCCATCAAAAACAGGGAGAGTTTGGGCTACCCGATACTGCTGAAAATGAGGTTGCTTACAGTCTTACCTCATTAGGGGCTTGCCTTCCTTTGTTACTAGCTCGACATTTTTGGCTTGGTCAACAGCATAGCTGTTTGCGTTGTGCCAGCCAACGTGTTGCAAGCCCTTGCCTTGAAGCAATCACTTGTAAGGCACGAGAGACAATTTCGCTGCCCTGCTCATTTACTAGTTGCCCTAGTTGTTTGCACTACCAAGAAAAAGCATCAATTAGTAACAATTAAAGTGTCATATCTTGTCCCGACCACATGCAGCTGCAAAAATAGTTGTTTGTGCCACATTTAGGAAAACAGTGCTCAGGCTTCCACTGTAAACAAGAACGAGTTCAACTTGAACGTGCATTGCCTACCTGTAAAATGGGACTTGCCATTTAATTAGAGCTTCCTTAATGTAAAAGAGAAAACTAATGTTTAAATTAAAATCATGGCAATCTATTAAAACGCAGCTTCGGGATTCCATCTTTCAGAAGAGGGCTCTATTCTCCAACTGGACAAGCAATTTTGTTAATACAGTTATTTGGCATATTTACTAAACGTAATAACCTTAAAACAACCTTGAAGTATTGGCCTTAATTTCTGGCTAATGAGAACTGTGACTTGCAGTGACTATTTAAGATTAATAACCTCTTTTTACTCCTCAACATATTTGCTTGAGCAAACATGGAAAGAAAAGGGGAGTAAGCAAGAGCAGGAAAGCATCTTTATTTTGGTAATTGTTTATATCCAATAGCCACTTAAGGCCAGGATTTCAAAGGGATTTGGGTGCCCAAAGTTTGCGGATCTATTTGGCAAGACGAGAAATCTGTTTTAAAAATCTGATACAACTTTACCCAATTACATAATTTTTCACAGGTGTGGATTCCCACAAGAAACTTGATTTTCTTTCAAGGTTTCCAGCCGTGATTTTCTATATGTCATAACATAACTCTTAGCTTCAAAGGCAAACTGCGTGTTTCATCCTCTATAATATCAAGTTCCCGCATCTTGCTTGTGTAAGTTCAAGTTGTTTTTTCACACAGAGAAGACAAGGGAGAGATTATCTTAAACGGGGTATGAAGGGAGGAGAGGATTGTAAACATCAAAAATATTAAGAAAGAATACATGCTTCAGTACTAATGACACATTCTTGGAGATGCATTTGAAGCACAGATTTGTGAAATGTACCAGGGAGCAGAGGAAGCATTTCCCCCACTGTCCTGTGTCACATTTTAGCAACGGCTTCCTTGAAAAGAGAGAGAATTACAAAATTCTCAGCTGCATGAGGAACAGGGATGTCACCTAGTTCAGTGTTATTTAGGGTAACAACAGTGCAAGCAGGCAAAAAAAAGGGTCTCTGGCACGTGTCAGTAGGTTACCAAACTAGGTGGCTGAGAGGGATGTCACGGAGTGCATCTCCTGCAGCACAGACAGAGGTAGGGATAATAGCTCTACTCTAATACTCTTTAATTACATTAAAGACCGTAAAGGCCTGAGGTACCGGGATGAAATGGGAATGAGAGCAGTGAGCAGCAGGTTCAGCCACCTTTCAAAAGCTGTACCCAAAAGGAAATGCAGGAGTTTCCTGAGAGATGGCAAAACATGAGCTTTGGGCTCAGCAGGGAGGTCAACCACGTCTTCATTCTGTCCATGAAGACAGACAGAGGTCCACTTCTCACAGCAGATGAACAACAACTCCATGTAGGCATCCTGCAGCCTGAGGAGGGATCTGCATGAACAACTACGTACTAGTCCTGTAGTGAGTTTCCAAGCTGGTACAGTTTTTGGCATTATTTTTCTTCCAGCTACAGTCAAGGTCTTACTACAGTAGGGGCAGCCCAACCTCTGCAGGCAAGGCAGAGAAAGGGAAAAATAAGAATTGAGTGCAGAAATCAATTAAATCAACTTATCTGGGTCATCTAAGAAGTCAGGCCAGGATAATTTCCTGCTTAATTCCTTCATCACAAGCATGTCCTTGCAAAGTATTCACTTTAAAATACATTTCAGTGTTACCCCATTTCCGTCAGTCTCTAGACTCTTGCAAACACTGAAATGTACCACCAGGTGCCAAACTAATGGCATGGAAGTGGGGGAATGTCAGATCTCCACCGTGTTTCCCAACGTACAGATGCATGTGCTGTTCCACTCCCCCAGGGCTGCTGTCGTGGCTGGTGAAGTACAAAAACCCCCAGACTTCTCCATACATTAATTGAGATGAAATGCTCCTCAGTCACGCAGGTCAGACAGTCATCTGCATGTCTGCCAAAGACGACTCGATAAAGAAGTGAGAATCTGTCCCCTAGGTTCTGTCCTTTGTATTTGTAAGGAGCTTTAGCAAGCCCCAGATGCCAGATAAATAGAAACAATAACAGTTGACTTGTTGATCAAAACCCATTCATGACTCATTGTTCATGGCCAAAACCCTTGGCTGTGCAACAGGTGGGAATACTTCCTACTCACTTTGAACAGTGCCAGTGATCTTGCAACCAGTTTCTTTCTGACGTCAGAAGTACATTCCCAAAAATACATTTTGGGAGACTTCCAACCTACCTGACATAGGGAAATAGTCTGGCAAGCTACTTTATGCTTTGCTTAACATGGATGCAAGCTGTGAGGTGACTCTACTTGCAACTAAGAAACCCTGGGGAGAAAGAATTCAGCCTTGTAGGAGATCTCTTTGGTGCCAGAACGATACAGAGGACAAACTGCAACACCTTCTTTCAGTGCTAGTGGAAGGGCAAGTCCTAACATAGGTATTTCCAAGTCACTGACTTTGATATCTCATTTTGCTGGCTCTTGCACTGTCGTTCAGAGAAGACAGGCCTTAGTTTGCTTGATTCTACACTGTAAAATATTTGGGTTTCCAGTGGGGTTTGTACACAAGCACCAAGGTCTCTATCCCCACCCATTTTTAATCAAAGCTACAGCAGATATCTGGAGACATCACAGTCCTTGACCAAGGGACTATGAAATCTAGCTAAATGAGAAACAAGGGACTTCACTAATAACACATCTGAAGATACTCCAATACCAAAGCCGTGTATAAAGAACATCTACTGTTTAGTGATGATACAAAACAAAGACAATATTATTTTGTTTTCCTTTAAGTTTTCCATACTTGTTATTTTTTCACATCTCTAGGATCAAGCTTCTCTCTCTCTTTGAAAAAAAACTGACCTAATAAAACATTGTCAGCTTAGATTTTATCCCCTCTTTATTCCCAGTCCTCAGAGATGAAAAGGCAAAGCAAGTTCTACCACTGGGCTGGCAGACTACTCAGTATTGTACTGCTGCCCTGGACTGCAGCTGAAGATCCCGAGTGTTGTGCCCATTGTACAGGAGTTTGTTGGAGCTGATCCCCAAAGCAAATACTTTTGAGTGAAGGGCAAGCTGAGACATGGTGTTGAACAACAAGATGATTAGATCCTGTGAGGAAGACTGAAGGAGTTTCTCCTTATCAGACCCTCCTTGCATGCAATCTAAGTGCTTGACCTGGATTTGTCCAACTATGCTTAGCTCAACTAAGCTAGATACTATGGCCCCCAAATTAGAACCTTTTAATAAAGTGATTGCAATGATCAGGTTAACAATTTTTTTACAAGCTGTTATGAAAATGTTCTGCGATTCCCTCAACATAAACAAAGATCCTACTTGACAAAAACATCAAGGCCACAATGAAGCAAAATTTAGAAGGGTGCTGCAGAGCATGGAAAAAAAATCGAGGGCTTCTTAATTTTCCTTGGTTTAAATACTAGTAAATAAATAAATACAGGGTATTTCAGGAACAGCGAGATTTTGTAGCCCAGAGGCTGATGGTGTGATGGCAGAGGCTTCTGCCATTCAAAACCTAGATCCCTCTCTGGACTTCCAGGATCTGTTCAAAATTGTCACTTCTTCTAGGTGTGAGGAAGACAACAAGCTTTGTAAGTTGAGAGCCACTTCTCCTCCAAAAGCATAGGAGGAGCATCTTCGTCTTGAGTCAACCTGGTTTTCTTAAACAGCAGCACCAACAGGAGCTTGCCTGAGCCTCCTAGCACTGCTGAGATCCTGCTCCTGAAGAAAGATCCAAATGGAACCCTTTATTGTTGTCTCCTAGGAATGGCCAGGTATTGTTTATGTTCCTTCGTGTCACGTGTAAGAGTTGCACAACGTGAGCAGCAGACCTGTGTAGTCAGTGTTTTGTGGTTAGGCTGGCAGAGCCAAGAAAAGCAACACAAAGTTTATCCTACGACTTCATCGAAGTAATACCGAGATGCCATCTTTTACTGAGACCAAATATTTAATGAAAACATTGTGATTCAATTATATCAGCTAATTTTTTGAACTAGCAACTAGGGCATTACTGTAACAGCCCTGGTGCAGCTCAAAGGCAACTAAAACAGCATTTGGAGTCACTTCCCACATCTACCAGACTGAATAAAAGCAGCTACCACAGATAACTCCATGAGAAGACCACAGTCCTTTTCTAACAAGCACTTTTGTACTCCTTCCAATTTTATCATTTATGTAAAGCACCAAATTCAACTGAAGCTTCAAAATTCACTAAATCGTGACCTGACTGTCTTTAAAAAAAAACCAAAAACCCAAAAAACTCCTCGAATCTCTCTAGTTGATGCCCACACACTTTTTTTTTTTTTCCCCCTATCTGGGAGACTTTACACGTGCTCTTTGCTGAACAGGAACTCCTGGCCTATAAACAACACTGCAGAGAAATGGGGATTCTTTGCCCGAAGGACGTCACTTATCATCTTGAGCCCTTCCAATGGGGAAGACTGGTTGGCCTATCAAGAAACAATGGGGGTGTGAGAGCTGGTAGTTGAGTTTCATTGCATTGCTGCAACACGACGTGCCCAGTTCAAGCACCAAGAGGCAGAATAAGAGGTTGCTAGTGGTCTTTTCTGAGTGGGAGGGAGTCTGGATCCATCCAGTATGGGATCTGGCCCAGGCTTCTTGTTCTTTCAACACAGCTATCTGGCCTGCACCAAAATTCTCTAACAGATCAGAAATGTGGAAGAGGAGGCAAACCCACCTTTCACTGTCTGTTTGGTAATTCACTAAATCAGAAAGATAGCTCTGTTTATTTTCATGTTCTGCAGATGCAGATCTGCTGTGCAAAGAAGGGACTAGATCCCCAACTGAGAAGTCCCATAGATTAGAACATTTTCCCTTCCTTTCCCTTTCCCCTGGGGAATTGGCAAGGATTTTGATCAGTGCATTGGCTGTTTCCCCACTGTTATCCAAGTGTAATTTCTGCACTTTCGGGCTCCTTAGAGAAGCAAAGACACAAAGCAACCGTTTATCCATATTTAAGACATATTTAAAAAGACTTAGGGAGGGTTGATACATTACCACTGATTTTGTTCTAACAATGAGCAGGAAAGACTGCCATTCAGGCTCAGTAACAGACATCATCAGAAGGGACAAATCAAGTCTCATCAATCAGGAAAGAGCAAGGACTACCTTTAGGAGAGATGTGATGTACTTACTTGAGATGGTAGAAGACCTGACGTTTATTCGCAGGGGCCCCGTGTATCTTCTCAGGCCCCTCCGTAAGATCCTTTCGACTCTTTCTCGCAGCGCTTCTCTAGAATCCGTGGAGGAGAACCAGAAGGTGAGCATATTTAAAAAGACTTAGGGAGGGTTGATACAATGCCACTGATTTTGTTCTAACAATGAGCAGGAAAAACTGCCATTCAGGCTCAGTAACAGACATCATCAGAAGGGACAAATCAAGTCTCATCAATCAGGAAAGAGCAAGAACTACCTTTAGGAGATGCATAACAATGAGCAGGAAAGACTGCCATTCAGGCTCAGTAACAGACATCATCAGAAGGGACAAATCAAGTCTCATCAATCAGGAAAGAGCAAGGACTACCTTTAGGAGAGATGTGATGTACTTACTTGAGATGGTAGAAGACCTGACGTTTATTCGCAGGGGCCCCGTGTATCTTCTCAGGCCCCTCCGTAAGATCCTTTCGACTCTTTCTCGCAGCGCTTCTCTAGAATCCGTGGAGGAGAACCAGAAGGTGAGCAAAGCCTCTGCCATCACACCATCAGCCTCTGGGCTACAAAGCAATGAAACACACTCCGGTTACCTTCGGCCCATTTCTGCATTTCTTAGTTTTTCTCCTAGCTCCTCTAGCAATGGCAACGTAACGTAAGGCATTAGATACATTTTTGAACATTTTTGTGTATTTTTGAGAGACCGAATTGCCAAAAGACATCCAAGCCAATGCAAAATGGTCAAATCCATCTTAGGCTAGAAGGAAGCATGATGCTTTCTGTGAACAAACGGCCAGAACAATGTTCAATAATGGAGTTTTAAAAGCTGTCACTACATGCCTGGGACACAAGAGCAGGAGGGAATGAACTGATTTGATTGCAATGAGAAGCTGGATACACAGCACTTCAGAAACATCAGGTAGATGGTTAATGGTACCTAGACAAATTTTTCCAGGGCCACGTACATACACAGAAAAAAAAATTCTAGTCATCATCACAAAGGTACTTGGAGCAAAGGGGAGAGGCCACCCAACCCAATTTCACCACTGCAACCTCGTGGGAGACCGTGGCCAATAACCTCACGTTATGCAACAATGAATGAAACTCAGCAGTGTATCCACCATCTACAGTTCCAGAGATGGACCACAAAAGAGGTCATTAACCTCTCACTGAAAAGTTCCCACACCCGGACACACAATTCCACAGTTTTGATGTAAGATCAGAGGAAAGAAAAGGAAGAAAAATCTCCTAACAGCCTGGATTCACGCAGTAGTGGTGTTTATTTTTCCTTAAAGCATCAGATACTGCAAGAGATTGGATCATAGACTACGAGCACCAAGGTGTCTAATCTGGCCTAGTAAATCTTGATCTGTGCTTGCAGATGGCTTATCCTTGGTCATTACACAGAGAAGATAAGAGTGTGAAACAAGAACCTTCTCTCCTGTGCCTCCTCCAACCCGAGCCAAGAAGCAAGGACACAATCCACAACAGGTGGAATCACAGTTACTTCACACAGGGGATGAGCTAAAAGCAGTTTGCTCTGTCTTAAGTATCCTTCAGATAGGAAAGAAAACGAAACAGACATTGTTGCTATCACCAGGGAAGGGCAAATAAAAGGCCATGTGTTATGAGCGCACCAAGCCATGCTGAATATTTCACAGCTGAGCTGAAAGACACGTCCTTGCTTCAAGGATCTTCGCCCACTGTAGGAGAAGATCAGGTTTGAGACCAACTAAGGAACCCAAAGGTACATAAGTCCCTGGGGCCTGATGAAATCCATCCACAGATCCTGAGGGAGCTGGTGGATGAAGTTGCTAAGCTGCTTTCCATTATATTTGAGAAGTCGTGGCAGTCCGGTAAGTTCCTGCTGACTGGAAAAGGGAAAACATAACCCCCATTTTCAAAAAGGAAAAAAGGAAGACCCGGAGAACTACAAGCTGGTCAGTCTCACCTCTGGGCCCAGCAGGATCATGGAGCAGATCCTCCTGCAATCTCCACTGAGACACATGGAAAATAAGGAGGTGACTGATGACAGCCAGCAAGGCGTCACCAAGGGCAAATCACGCCTGACAAATTTGGTGGCCTTCTACGATGGTGCTACAGTGTTGGTAGGTAAGGGGAGAGCAACAGATGTCATCTGCCTGGACTTATGCAAAGTGTTTGACACTGTCCCACGTGACATCCTTGTCTCTAAATTAGAAAGGTATGAATTTGATGGATGGCTCATTTGGTGGATAAGGAATCAAGTCTAGATGGCCACGCTCAAAGAGTTGTGGTCACTGGCTCAATCCTCAGGGGTTGGTACTGGGACCAGTGCTGTTTGACATGTTTGTTGGAGACATGGACAGTGGGATTGAGTGCACCCCCAGGAAGTTTGCTGATGACACCAAACTCGGTGGTGCAGTCGACACACTGGAGGGAAGGGATGCCATCCAGTGGGACCTTGACAGGTTTAAGAGGTGGGCCTGTGCAAATCTCAAGAAGTTCAACCAAGCCAAGTGTAAGGTCCTGCACATGGGTCATGGCAATCCCAGGCATAAATACAGGCTGGGCAGAGAATGGGTTGAGAGCAGCCCTGAGGAGAAGGGCTTGGGGGTGTTGGTGGATGAGAACCCCAACAAGAGCCTTCAGTGTGCGCTCACAGCCCAGAAAGCCAACCCCATCCTGGGCTGCATCAAAAGAAGCGTGGCCAGTGGGTTGAGAGAGATGATTCTACCCCTCTGCTCTGCTCTGGTGAGACCCCACCTGGAGCTCTGTGTCCAGCTCTGGAGTCCTCAGCACAGGAAGGACATGGACCTGTTGGAACAGGTCCAGAGGAGGGCCACAAAGATTATCTGATGCTGGAGCACCTCTCCTGTGAAGACAGGCTGAGAGAGCTGGGGTTGTTCAGCCTGGAGAAGAGAAGGCTCCGGGGACACCTTAGAGCAGTCTTCAGTACATAAAGGGGACCTACAGAAGACATGGGGAGGGACTCTTTATCAAGGAGTGTAGTGATATAAGTGGTAATGGTTTTAAACTGAAAGACAGTAGATTTAGGTTAGATATTAGAAAGAAATTCTTTGCTGTGAGGATGGTGAGACACTGGAACAGGTTGCCCAGAGAAGCTGTGGCTGCCCCATCCCTGGAGGGGTTCAAGGCCAGGCTGGACGGGGCTTGGAGCAACCTGGTCTGGTGGGAGGTGTCCCTGCCCAGAGCAGGGGGGTTGGAACTGGATGAGCTTTAAGGTCCCTTCCAACCCAAACCATTCTGTGATTCTATGATTGAGACTGAGTAGCTATACGTGAACTTTCCAGCAGGCTGGTTTTCCCCTGTGCCAACTTGAGCGTTGATTGCCACTCCGTTTATTTTCCAGATATTATCTGATCCAACTGTGGGTGTTGCTCTGCATTTCTGAGGTGTTCCCTCACCTCTCCCCCCACTCCTCTTCCTGTGCTGTGCCACACTGGAATTACTCTATCAACTCTTGCAAGCACACCACACCTCTCGAAACCCTGGGGTAAGTACAGCCCGCCTGGAATCACTCACTACACAGCAAAGGTCCAGAGCCAAAGACACCCAGCCAAGACCTGTTTTGTCTTTCTCGGTGAGCAGTGGGCACTGTCATCAGGGCATTGTTTATACTGAGCCAAAAATATGCACGGTACTTTCCAAGCAAATTCACAACAATGACCTTGCTTAAAAGAGCGTGCAGTCTGAGTGCTGAAAGAGGCGTAAAGGTAGTGTATTTGAAAAAACAAAGAAGCTTTGGCGCATACAAGTCTTGCATCCAGCACAGCAAACTCCTCACTTTATCCCTGGGAACAAGAAGTAATGAAAAATATTACTGCTTCCTACAGATTGGCCACTCAGATCCTCAACTAACCTCGTCTACACTTACAACACTCTAGTCAGTATCGAAAAATATTCCTAAACCTACATTCAAACAAGGACTTGTGTGATTTGCCTAACTGGGGTAGAGCAAGCTGCAGGATTTCACAAACCATAGAAGAACCAAGAAAGATGGAGAAATACATTCAGAAGAATAAGATCTGGAGGCTGCTATCACTAGTCTTGCAGCTTTAGCGCGTGATTATTAAGACATTTGAGGTTTATTTGCAAAGCAACGGGCACTGTCACTCAGGAACAGGACCTTAGCATTACAATAGACAGTTCTGTAAGAAGGTCACTTGATCAAAAAAAATCAAATCCAACTTTAGGTATTATTGTCAAATAGACAGAGAATAAAAGAGAAAAAAACCAACCCCATTGTTCAATGATAATCTCAACCACAGGTCTGACCCCTTCATCTCAAAAAGCAGGGGTGGCAGACCTGAAAGAGATACAAAGTGGGGTGACAAGGAACAGTTCCTGCAAAGAATGGCTGAGGAGGCTGGGACTTACAACTGAAAAAAAGAGTAGAGCTCACGGGGGACAGGAGAGAAAAGGGATGATGGGAGTGTCCGATACCACTAATTGCATGGTGAGATGGAAGAGAGATCAACTTTTCGTCACCTCTTCCAGCACAAGAACTAGGGGCCACTGAGCGATCCAAAGAAGGTGGCTCTTCACAAGTAACACCCTACTAAAGGACTGAGGTGCACGAATTTCAAGAGTCCAGGGGAGGTGGACAAGTCCTTGGAAAAGAACTCCACCAAGGGGCTACTAAACAAAGCACAACCACTTCAGAAGATCCCAAGTGGTAAATAGCTGGAGGTGGGGAGCATCCTGAGAAGCAGTTGTTGTACGTGTCTGTTGCCCTGCTACTGTTGGTTCCCCAAAAACCTACTTATGCCTGTTCTTGGAGACACAACAGTGACAAGTGGCACCTTCTGAACCAGCAGAGCCATGCTTGCTTTCTACTTGACAAGCCCAGCACAGTAGCAATACTAGCAGTAAAATGCATTCTAGTGAAGGAGCTAGTTTTGAAAATGCTTTTCATTTTTAGACAGCTCAAGTTAATCTGCTTTATTAGCTAAAGCTTGCTCAAGATTTGAACACAAATGTGTATGGAATTTGGACTGACTGCAGTCTTCTGCATCAAAGGAGGGAGTAGTTCAGGATCAGATCATGCTCACGTGGGGATTGTGCTCTTGTCTTACATAAAATACACTTTACTGAATTAGATCAAATGGCTGGCTAGATGCTCTTGGTGTACATTTAATTTTCTCTCAGCTGTGTGCATTTATTATAATCTCACATACCTCACTCTGATTAAGCGTGAACGGATGTATTTTTTCCTTAAAATGGAATTGTTAAATGTCTTGTCGATCTGTTGAAAAAAGAGAAATATAAGATAACAAGGAAAAAAAGGAGGGAAATGGACATATTGCTGGAAGGAGCATTCAGAAAATAGCATTCAGTTACAAACTCACAGACTGCAGAGCCAAGAAACATAATCCAGCCCAGCCTCTAGACAACATTGGCCACAGACTTTTCCTAACTGTTTCCCATTTGGCCTGAGGCACGTCATTAAAAGTTAACTCATTTTTCTAAATAATCCTATGACTACATCAGTGGGCCACTATAGTGCTGTCCCATCCCATCCACTCCCAGGCATAAGGAGGGATATTTATAAACACCCTTGAAACACGCTGCTGCAACCTCTCAAAGCACAGCCTCCTAGAGATGCTCTACAGAAAGGATACAGCACCTGTCCCTCTCTTTTCAGGGTCTTTTCTGAGACAGCACTTACCCTTGGTCCTAGAGAAATCTATAGCAAAGCTACCAGTGGTCTGAAGTTATGCCCCCAAACCCCAGGGGAATCGCCAAGCAATTCTCATCAGAAATCAGAAATCTGGGACTCGTGAGGAATCAGTCCTCAAATGACACATCTTTGCCGGTGCCTGCTGAACCACATCCTGCTTTGGGCTGAAGGTTGTCTCGAGATTGCATGATCGGTCTGAGACGGCACGGTGTGATATAGCATGGCATGAAATTCAGCCAGGAATTCAGCCAGGCTCAGGATTACCGGAGTGTTGAGAAACAGCAAAGTGACTAGTGAGTTATGCAGTTCCTTCTATGAGCAAGACCAATACATGGCACGTATCCTGTAAACATCAAATGCATTACAGGAAAAACCACATAGAAACGCTTCACAAAATCACACAAGTTCTCTTTTTCATAGTTTTTAGCCCATAAAGGCTGTCTGGTTTAGCCAGGTCTCCGTATTTTCTGTCTTCCAAAGGAAAGAAAAAAGTAACGGTGCTCAAAATTCTAGTGTGTCAAAATCTTCCAGATACAGAAAGGAGCATATAACATGAAATCTGGGATGATTCCCCCCAAAGCCCCTCTTTCCAGTCTCATGCCATTACACAGTGGTACTGAAGCAGAATAATTTCAAGATGAAAAGTGCACATTTTATTATTTTAAGGTGATTTTAAGCATACATCAGTAAGGGGAAAAAAAAAAAAAAAGTTCTTAATGCTCATGCATTGAGCTGATCTTTTTTCTTGCTGTTACCAGAAGTTATCTGGAATTACTTAGGTATTTGGAACAGACAAAATTCTATGGAAAAAAATATATCAACTGTGACAAGCTACTGTATCTATGCAGAATGCACTCTGTCAGGGCACTTTGCAGATCCCAGCTGCTACCAATATATCAACTGTGACAAGCTACTGTATCTTTGCAGAACGCACTCTGTCAGGGCACTTTGCAGATCCCCAGCTGCTACTGCTGCATTTTATGAGGCACACAGTTAGAAAACAAAAATATTTTGTTTCCTGTAATCTTGCAGCCTGTCCCACAACCATCCCCCTTGGTTATCATAACTATCTGCCCTCAGACAAGAAAGCTTTTTGGGTTTTGGGTTTTTTTAATGATAACATTTGCTTATTGTTCCTGTCACAGTGTTATTGTGCAAGCAGAAGGATGCAGCGATGGATGCCACGTGCTATCTCGGGCTGAGAACTTTTGAGATCTTTGAGACAGGGACTGCTCTTTATCTCCTCCTGCAATTGTGTTTTCAAGCTATCTGTAATGTCTCACCTCAGAGATTAAAAGAGGTTTTGCTACACTCTCCACCTGCGTTCCTGCAGCAGGTAACAGGGATCTTTACTTCTGACACCCCTTCTCTTGTGTATCTTTGCTACAGCCTGAGCAGCTCGTGTGATTGTGGGTTTTTTGTGCTCTCGACACGTTCAGCTTTCTTTTTTTTCCTCTTCACCCTGGACCACTTCCCAGATGTTCTATACAGCTTGATCAGGAACATACAGCCACAAAGACAAAGATTTCCAGTGGTGTCTGACAAAACACTGTTACACACAGTACTTTTTACAAAAAGGATCTAAAGGATCCAAATGCAACTGTTCTATACAGCTTGATCAGGAACATACAGCCACAAAGACAAAGATTTCCAGTGGTGTCTGACAAAACACTGTTACACACAGTACTTCTTACAAAATGGATCTAAAGGATCCAAATGCAACTGTCAGCAACAGACATTGTTTTCAGAAAATTCAGTCCAAAAGAGATGGAGAGAACAGTAAGCACGTGCTTTAAAATGATACCAAAATTACTGGATTTCTTTTATCTCCCTTTCACAATTTCATATCTGAATGAGAAAGTAGCCACTTCTATTACATACTGCCACTAACTTTCCTCTCCTTAAGATTTCCCTGAGTATTACATTGCCAATAGATTAGAAAATAAAAAACAATTGGAAAGTGGTTTTGTTTCCAGTGATCCTTGCAGGGCCCTGAACACCTTCAGACTTGACCTGGTATTTTTTACATTTCTAATCTGCTGTATCTTATCAGGAGAGCCATGCTAGCCAAACCTCGTCACTGTGGCCTCTATCACCTGTTGATGAATTTGTTTGACAGATATGAATATGGCCCATATCTCCTCTTTCCTTCAACGAGGATTTTGGTAGCCTGAATTATTAGCAATAATCTTTGGATTCATACAGAGTTTATGTAAGAGGAAAAAACGTGGCAAGATGCCTTCGGATAATAACTTTCAAAGATTAATGTTCCGTCTCATGTTTTTTACCGTTCATCTCCTAGTAAAGCCTTTCACACCCATATCAAACAGCAAATATTTCTTTCCAGCCTTTTTAGAGCTTACTTTTCAGCTTGAGTCACATGCCTAGAAGCAAAAGCAACTGGAACTTTGTCCGGTAACTCGGTGACACTGCCTGGGAGAACCATCTACACTCATTTTAAGCATTTTTCTTTGATCGCAGCGCCTCAAAAGTGATGCTGTCATGACCAGATCCCTTAAATTCACCACTGATTAAGTGCATCTCACTTGTTTTCCTGGCCCTTGTCTAGCAACTGCAATGGTGACCGTGGCTGCTGCAGGCAAGGTTTATAAGCATTCCTAAACAAGGGCCAAGTCCTGCTCCTTTCAAGTGAGCAGCATTTTCCTGACAGCCTTTATTTAAGCATTCATCCAAACAAGATTTTCTTTAAGTCAGTAGTAGCTGGCTTGTTTAACTTAATGCCATCTGGTATTTCCTCAATTTAATTTCGTATCCTCTCTCCTTTTTACAAAACTTCTCTCCATGCAGTATAATTTTCTAACACAAACTGGACACCACTCCTGAACACTGGTCCATCTATGCTGATATAGTAACTAATAGTGGCTAGTACCAAAGATGCAATAGGAGGGAAAAATATTCCCACCTGTACAAACTCAGCCACAAAGGAAGTTCTTCCTTGTTCCTTGCAGCAAGAAGTTGCTTTACACCGTGATGAACAAGACTTGTTTTCCAACCCCATCTTGAGTCTCATCACTGTCCTTCTTTTTTCCTCATGTCACACCATGGCCAACCCTCTGAGGCCTGTGAGCAACCTGCTAAAATCTTCACCATTTCAGAATCACCCAGAGTGCCCTGCCTCCCTGGGACCCCCAAAAAACCCCCCCTGCAAGCTCTGGAAGCAGGTCACATGCGACAGGGATCCTACATCCCAGTGTAGGACAGAGCTGACGTGAGCTGGGCTTGCCCAGATGTGCAGCTGGGTCTGCCCAGATGTGCTGCTGTGCCAGCCCTTGCTTTCCCCCACCTCACACACTGCTCTGCCACGGCGCACGGGGGTAAGAGGATTTATCAAAAAGGTTATCTTACATCTAGTTCGGCAGAACTTTCCTCTGGAATCTCTGCTGAGCCCGCTGAATTCCTTGTGTGGGATGTTCAAAAGCATTCAGTAGGTTTGGGAGCACAAATCCTCTTGTTGCTCAATGCTATTGCAATTTTGTCTGCTGCCAGGTGAGTCCTTCAACAGCTACCCTCAAACTACTTCCTCTGGCCTTACTAGCTCTTTAGGATGTAAAGCCTATTATTAGTGATTTTTTTAGAGCTTTTTGACCATAAATATTAATGGGAACATACCACCTGGTTCAGGGACTCTCTTCATTTTTGTGGCAATCACAAAATATGAATCACAGAATGATATGGGGTTGGAAGGGACCTCTGGAGATCATCTAGTCCAACCCTAATCAGTTGTGTTAATTCTGTACCTAGCATCCAATTTGCTGGCCAGCTGCATCCAATTTACAACTCAACCTGCTGAGACCTCCAGAACTGAACCATAACACAAATGCAGGTTTCAGCTGAGGGGTTAGTTGGGAACCTACCAGAGATAAGAGGGAGAGAGAGCAAGCAAGAGGAGAAAGACAGACAGGGACAGCAAAAAACTGAACCTGGCACGCTCCCAAACCAGGATGTGGACATCACACCCCCCTTAGAAACAGAGATACCAACTACTGGCAGCGGTAGCCTCACAGCCACAGTGTTTGCCCAAGGGGAAGAAAAGGGACCTGAAGGAGATTGACTGTAATGATCCACGGGCCTCCAGCAAACCAGAAGATCAGAAAGCATTCATAGACAAATACAGCATGCCGTCCCGGCGGGCAAAAGCAATATGATCTCATACATCTGCAAAGAGATACTCTACAAAGAGTTTAAACTAACTGTACTGCTAAAGCTGGGATGTCAGCAAGCTCTATCTGACTTTGGACTAACAGAAGGAGCTCATCTGGATGGTTCTTGGAGGTGTCAGCTGCAAAAGAGAAATCACTGACCTTATAGAGTAGTTCCTAAAAAGATTGGTCTTTTGGATAAAAGAAATTAAGAGGACTAATACATGGGATAACGTCAGGATTTAAAGTACCATGCTTCTGCCTAGTGCAACCAATTTCAAAGGCATGTAATGGCATGAGAGTTTCATTATAGCCATGTAATAGTGACTGCTGGAATTAAGGTCACCTAAGTATTCCCATTCCTACTCCCCGCTTTCAATTGTCCATAATTAGCTTCCTAAAACT